CTCTCCAAACTGATTAATTATCTAGCTCAGTAGGGCTCTTTATCTGACTACCAACTTAATGTATCAAGGATACAATTCCTTGCTTTTAAATACGAGATATTATCTAAAAATCTAATCTTCAGAGTATTCGGTAAAGTATTTGGGTGTACATATACAAAAAAATCTGTCACACTCGTGCAGTATTAATTTGGGGTCTCTGAACTCCAAATTAGAAGAGGATATAAGGAGATAGAAGGCAAAGAGCTAAATCAGTCATGATGATTTATGTTAATAAGAGTATTAATATGCAGCCCAGGTGAGACCTCTTATATGATGCCTATAATTCTGAATCTAGCAATAAAAAAAGGGAATGAATGGAATATGGATGAGGGAAAAATCCATAAGATATTAGAGGAGGCATTTCAAACTACCATCGCTTTGTATGAGGTAACATTTGTAAATGTCTTTTGTAATTCACTTTAATTTCTGTAACATTAAGGTACAAGGTGAGATTCAGTGTTTTCTGGTACAATAAGTCCGTCCTCATTTCTCCTTCAGGTTAAAGGTGAGGCTGAAGCATTTGCAGTGGAGGCCAAGGGTCGTGCTGAGGCTGAGCAGATGGTGAAGAAGGCAGAGGCCTTCAAGGAGTACAAGGAGGGCGCCATGGTGGACATGCTGCTGGAGAAACTGCCTTTGGTGAGCGATAACATCATCATAACAAGCATTTCTAGCTCCTGCTATTATTTTTAGAATTGTGCTGATAAAAAAAACAGAATTTGAAGCCTGTTAGTCATGAGTGTTGTGTGTGCATTTACTTCTGGATTACATTATTACATTCACTGGTTACAATTTTAACAGCTGTAATGTCATTTGTCCACCAGATGGCAGAAGAGATCAGCAGGCCTCTGTGTGAAGCCAAAAAAGTTACCATGGTATCCAGCGGAGGTGGAGATGTGGGCGTGGCCAAACTCTCAGGAGAGGTGCTGGACATCATGACCCAGCTGCCTGAGGCGCTGGAGAAAATGACTGGCGTAAACATCTCCCAGGTAACTCTGTTTATGTTACACCTACCTGCACTCATGCATCTACAGCTTATAGCTGCTACCGACCAAATTTAATTATTAATAATTAAATTCAGCACAAAACTTTAAAACATCCACCTTTCTCTAAGTAAGTAAGTAAGTAAAGTTATATAGCACCTTTCACAGACATATGTCCCAAAGTGCTTTACAAGGTAAAAGCATAATACAGTCATAAAATACATCATAAAAACCCTGGTCTAATTAAAAGCTTTTTGAAATAAAAATGTCTTTAGCTGCTTTTTGAAGGTCTCCACTGAGTCCAAACCCCGTAGAAATAGGGGAA